ACACACACACACACACACACACACTTTTACTATGAAACATTAGTTCAGTTGGCGCAGTTTCTCTTTCTTCGTGAACGAATCCATTCCACTTGATGTAGGAGAATACTCAAGCCACTAAAACTCCACTCCTGGCTCGTGTTGTTAGATCAGATGATTTAGTTTAAAAAAAATTTGAACAAAAATTTTAATATATTGCACTTTGTTGTAACATTACCCTATTTCAACTCATCTTGACGAACCACATGTGAGCCTTTAGCACAAATACATACTTACTTCTCAGCAACTGCTTGCAGAATTGGGTATGAAATTGTGTGATCGCCACCTGCAGACACCAACATTTGCTTAATACCTATCTGAACATGCTCCACAGTTTATAGGCTGTTGAAATGGATAATGATTGTACAGATGTTTCAGAGTTCATTTTGATACACTATAATTTATTTACCACCTCTGTCTGTGGATCAAAGTGGAAAGATCATGTGAAGGAGGCACGTTCTCACCCATAGTCAGAGGGATGCAGCCAGCAGCCGCAATCTTTCTGTAGGTCTCCCTGATGCGCCTGCAGGTGTCCTTCAGATCAAACACGTTCACGTTTACGTCCCCGATGTCAGCAACCACCAGGGACTCATAAGGTGCCGCCCGGGTGCCACAGTTGTAAGCCCTCAGCATGGACGCAGACTCAACTCTGATCTGCCGTGGACCAAACCTGCAGAGTAAGAGGGGAGATGAGAACATCAGACAAATGTAATGTAATGTAAATGTAATTCATGTAAATTTGAGTCACCAAGTAAACTGGGACAACTACACCTGAACACAATTATATCCACTTTTATCAAATGTAGCATGAAGCTGCTCTGCTCTAACTATGACCCCTGACCCTTATTCATCTCTCAGACTCACCACAAATCGTGTTCTTTAAAGTTACCTCTGACTTCAATAATGTCTGATCTTTTTCCACACATTTCCTGTCCTTGGACACAGAGTCAGCTACAGTCTGACTAATGTTTATCTTATATCTTCCTGTTTCTAAGAAAGAAAAACAAATCATTAATCAAGTTTGTTTTATTTGATTAACAAGTGTGAACATGAATAAATTTGATTGTTGTTTTCAATCATTATAATGAAATCATGTGAAATATTACAATGTGAATAACATATTTATCTGTTCTTTTTTCAGAAAGTGATTATTCCTTCAGAGACACCTGTGAAAATGTTCTTTGAGCTGGAAGCTGTTTTCTTCAGAGGGGAGCCACAATGTTCATGACACTGTCAGAAATAGGGGTACAGTAGGCATACATTTCTGTCCCCTGAGGTACAACCTGGACTTTTGTACCCCATATAGGACTAATATTGAACCTTGTGGCACATAATTATACTTCTTGAGGGCCTAAAAGGTACATTTTTGTTCCCAAGTAGTTAATGGTACATATATGTACCCTTTATTGATGATTGTAGGGTACAATTTCAGAAGATGGACATCAAGGAAAGAAAAACTATTAAAACAATGTGATTAGAAAGTAATCATTTCAAAATTTTATTGAATGGTTGAGTGGCTGTAGTTAAGTATACTTGAGCAAAAGTTAAATAAAAATGCTTAGAAGTGGATTTGTGTAGTTACTGTTTTCAATATCAAACATAGTTACATTTTTATTTCATATTATACTTTAATTTGGATCAAATATTTTTTCACATTGGCAAAGGGCTAGTTTTTTTTTGTAACTTTATTCATCAAAACATGTACAAACAAGTAGGGCAATTCACAATTGTGCAAATCTACAGAAGACATAACAGAGGTATACTTAAAAATGAGACTATCAAAGACGAAACTGATTTTATATATATATATATATATATATATATATATATATATATATATATATTACATTTGATATTCTAACAAGATTGATTTACAGTATGTAGTGTTGGCCCTGTGATGGACTTGCAACCTGTCCAGGGTGTACCCCGCCCCTCGCACAGTCACAGTGATTGCTGGACATGGGCACCAGTGACCCCCTTGACCCAAAAATGGAAGAAGCGGGTAAAAGATAATGGATGGATGGATGGAATATTCATTTTTTGTATTGCCAGCATTGATATTCCTCCCTCCTACAGCCTGATCAACATCACCAAATATGCTAATTAGACGATGACGTCATCTAACAACTTCTAGTGTTTCAAAATCTCACTCCAAGCTCAGATAAACTTGAGAGCCCTGCATATTTTATTTAGGATTGCAAAGGATTAGTAAATGGACTTTTTTCACTCATCCGCATTTGAAAGCGGATGTTGCGTGACAACTTCCGGTGGCCATCAACGCTGTTTTTATTCTGTTCACTGATTGGCTCTCTTTGAATGGAACACCACGTCATCTGTTAAGGTCGGTCTTTTTCTGGCTTGCTGCTGGTGGAGAAATATGGCCTTTGCAGTCCTTTCAACCGAGGACCTCTTAAGAAAAATGAAAGAAGATGGCTTAGAAGTGTCAGAAGCAGATGAACAGAGATTCAGAGGTAAGCTGTAAGTTAAAATAATGTAGCTTAGCCATAAACCGATTAGCATTGTTGCTAACCCTAGCTACGTCGCTAACCTACGTTAATTCGTTAACGTTCAACCAACTTTAGAATCGTGCATTTGAATGACTTGCATTGTTTATTTTTTTCTCTCACCACTACAGTTTTCTTAAGCTAGGCAAGTCATGTGGCTAACCCTAGTGATGGGCAGATCAGGCCTCATTGGGTGTATGGCACATTTCCCAAACTGTGTCCACACTGTGTTGAAACTGTGTTGCTGTATCACTTAATAGTGACATCTGCTGAATTTAAAAAGTCATCCTCATCATCCACATCCGAGGAGCGAAACGTCTTCTGTTACACATAAAGTCCAGTTGTTTTTGCCTTGAACGCTTTTGGATTTACCATGTCCTGGATGACTGAGAATCGTCACTAGCATATGTCATTGCAGGCAAATTCAATAAAGACTGGAAACAGATGGAACAAGGTTAATTTACACATTTTTATTTAGAAACCTCAGCTGCTGTAACATCTTTGGGTAGAGGTGATTGCGTCGTTTACAAACCATTTCTCCTGCTTTTGAGAGCACCCTTTCACAGGGCACTGATGATGAAGGCGTACATAGAAATTTCATTGCAGTGTTTCCCTTACCATTATACAAGAGGGGTGCCCCACCCCGTCAACCGAATTAAGCACCCCGCCTACCAAACCAAACTTGCCCCCCCCCCCCCCCCCCCCCCCCCCCCCCACACACCTGCCCACCCGGCACTGACATAGCACTAAGCTAGCAGCGAGAAATACAGGTTCTCTAGCTAAAAAACTAAAGGAAGCACTCATGTTGCCTCTTCCCTCATGCTAAACGCCCCCTGCCCCCACTCAAAAACTGTTAGTACAAGTTGCGCTCAGACAAGTGTCCGTCCCCCCATCAACAAAAATGGATGAGATGAGCACCCCGCCATGGCAAGTTAACTAGGGGAAACACTGTATTGCAATTTTGTATAACGTAGGGTAATTTTAATATTTGTGTTTTCCATTATTGTATTTTTCCATTATCCTGTGATCTTGGTGTGTTCGCCTCAGAGATGTATCTTTGTACCTCGATAAGACAGCACCTGGGAGCAAATCCTACATTTCACCTACAACAGAAATAAAAGTTAATCCATATAAACTAATTCAAATATCCCTCAGAAAGAAATTAGAATAACTCAAAAGAAAAATGATCAATAGTGGAAACAAGAACGGAATAATAATTTACGTTCTTTTCCGTGATAAGATTAATATGATCCCACACGGGAGAAAAACTTCCTCTTCCTTGGTTCCCTGGATTATTGAGCATGCATCAGGATATTCTTCTTCCTTGATTGATCCATGGTATTCGATGACAAGACAAAAACCAATGCAAAGCAAAGAACACAAACTTTTTCCCATCCAACAAAACCCACAAACGTGTCGATACATTTTCTCACTTATAAATGCAATTTGGCGCGTTCACAACCAAATGATACAGTAACTGTATCGGTCACATGGTTTTCCTTAAAGAGATACGCGCACCGACACGGGGCTTCGCCTTGTTTGCTCGGCACATGCACCTAGATTTCAGTGCCGTCAGACCCATCACTAGCTAACCCTATGTCCTCCATATTAGCCGCTTGACTTGCCATTACCGAAGCGTGCATTTTAGCTCGGTTTAAAATAAAATGGCACAATAAGGGTAAGGCAAATAAGCTAACCTAAGGATATGGTATTGTTATAGGGTGATTTGACATCCCCATTTTCCAGAGACAGTCTCCGTTTTGGACGAGCTGTTCCCATACTATCTCAGATTTTAGCGTTTTATGACAAAGAAAAATAAGTGTTGCGTGTAGACTGTTATTACAATAGAGGGAGGAAAGCTCGGATGAGCACGTTATGTCCAACAACAGTTACGGTAGCTGGTCGCTCTGCAGTTAACAACAAAAAAGGTTACACTTTACAGACAGTAGAAGAAGAAGAGCCAAGCCGACCGCATTTAGAAATAAAATAAGACTTAATAAACATTGTAAGTTTTGTCTCCTAAAATTGACTATATTTCTTACCATTAGGATTATTTTGACCCATTTTCACAAAAACAAAAAGTAGAGTCTGCACTTGACCATCGCTGTTTCAATTTAAGTTGTAGACAGCCCACAAATGCGGAAAACGTCCATGCTGTGAAGATGTTGACTGTGAAGTTACCTTTTCTCAGGGATCTTGAAGGAAATGCCCAGGATCCATTTTCCACTGAGGCTCATGGGAAGGTCTTACACAACCAGTACCAGAAGGTGCAGCCCGACACAAAAATCGTCAAAGGCCAAATGCAGCAGACATTTGCACAGTGGTGAAAGGAGACTGCAGATGGGATCACTTTGGCAGACACACTTGAGAAATACCCTTTCTTAAGGACATCTACAGGTGTAAGTGCTTTAAACTGAAAAAGTTTTCTCACTGTGATGTGGAGTATCTTATGTCATTTTCACACCAGATAGTCCGGTAGACTCGGTTCGGTTCAAGACCAATATTCATGACATTTTGTTTACATTTGAGCTGGTGTGTTTGCATTCACACTGCACTGTGCAGTCGAGTCAACCTGTTGAACCAACCTATTCCCCCGCTCGCCTGTGGGGGCGCTGCACCAAGAACTACTGAAAGAAACGACACAAAAACCTATGAAGACACGTCTTCTTCTGTAAATTGTAGTGAACCTAGGCCTATGTCAAAACTGACCAGATGGACAGAGACTGTTATTTCATTGATCTGCATCCAGAAATACAGTTTGACCCATCTGGAGACTTTCTTTCTTGAATTAATCAAGTAGAAAAGACAATCCTCTATGATCATTACTATTTTACAAATGTTTGATAATCAAATTGTGTTAGTTCACTCAATGTTTACAGGTTGAAGAGAACTACTCATTTTTATTTACATAAACAGTAAGTAATGATTTTTATTCCTCATTCAAAGAAGAAATCAGGTTAATATGCATTTCTTGATTTTTCTGTCTTCAATGAGCAAATTTGTAAGTATATTAAAGTTCAGGCTTCGGTCAACTAAAATGTTTACTGAGAAGAAATGTCATGTTTAATCTTTACAGCAGATAATCAGAGTAGAGGCTCCACGAAGTCTCGTTTTCTCCAATAATCTTTCTGTGTGTTTTAAACAATCTCATTCTCTGTCCTTGACT